AACTGCACCAGTGGGAGCAATTTGTAATACTTGTTGCTAAGGACACAAAATGAGCTGACAGTGTAATGATTGTCGTGAAAAATAATTTAATTTGTCTAAAATAGCCGTTGATACATTTATTTATTATTAGTCAAGTTTGTGTTCAACCAGGATATTTGAAGACATTATTTAAAATAGTTTTTTATATATACTATATACACATATTTAACACACAAAAAATATCAATGGGAAATTTACCAAAAATATTTTACGACAATTCTAGGGGAGAGCACTGTGTCAATTGCGTTTAGCTTTATGTTGCTACGCAACTTGATAGGTCAGTTATTGACCGGACTGAAAGTTTTGACCTGGCACCTAATTAATTTGTTAATAGATATATATTTATATTGGTGCTATAAGAATGTATAAATGGACAATTAATTAATGATCTCAACAAATCCCGGATCACCTCCCGTCCTGAACATAATAGCTTTGAAGAGAAATGGCAGAAAAAAGATATACTGGTGCTCCGTTTGGAATCCAAACTGCAAGGTAGCATAATTATACTAATAATGCCATGCTCTATAAGTCTAAAGGTGTATGAGTGTATTGTAGTATTACATATTGCATAGTGCTTTACATTAAGGTGTGGACTGTTGTCAGTAAACGCTGTCAACAGTCTACAAATATACTATAGGTCTACTAAACTGACTAAACTATGCTTAACTAACTAAAATTCATTGGTCATTAATATACTATACTTAGATAAAATAAATATAACTTAAATTTTATAGTATGGGATATTATTTATAATGAAATTATTAACAATATTATTATTATTATTATTATTAGAGCACTGATTGCATGCCAGTACCACTTTCGTTATTGAACATAGTAATTTGGACTATAATTAATTAGGTTTGAATTGATATAACTTATAGTTATAATATAGCCTATATTATAGGGTCAAGTATTATAATTAGCTTAAAAATGGGCATTTAAATGCAATGCATATTTATGATATTTATAAATGATGTTTATGTTACTAAATAAACTACCTCTTATTATGACAATAGTCTCTCCTTGGACCACCCTAGGTCATTGGTAACAATCTTTTTTGAGGGAGGAGCTGCATGAACTTATAGAAATAGAAATGATTCTATCATTTGAAAGAACCACATGTGGCTCACCAGGTGAAGCTCATATCTCAAAATTCCTTGATGGAGCTTTTCAACCCATTGTAGCTTCACTGATCACTAACATCAAAGATACCAGCCATGCTTCGAACACTTTTGAATCCATTATCATCCCTCCTGAGCAGAAACATAAACTATTTCTGCTTGATTTATGTGCTTATTATACCTCGATCCCTAATACTGACAGTCTCTTAGCTTTACACATCTTTCTCAAACATAAGCCCCACCCATTTATATCTACAAACCTCCTCCAATTGGCTGAATTTTTTTGAGTTTGATAGCCAATTTTTCTATCAAATCAGTGGTGTTGCTATGGGGACTACAATGGGACCCAGCTACGCATGTTTGTTAATGGGACATTTCAAACACATGGTGGAGAGTGACTACACAAGATGCTTCCCTGAATTTTACAGTTGATACATTGATGATGGTATTGGGGTCACCAGCATGGAGTGGAGTGACTTTGACATATTTACCAACTTTATAGGCTTTTATCATCTCTCCAATAAATTCACATCACAGGTCTCTGAATTCTCAATTAACTTTTTGGACATTATGGTCACCTTTCACCTCGACGGCTCACTCACCTCTACTTACGTTAAACCACAGATATTTTCTGTACTCTTTTTCCCACCCTGTAAGGACTCCCTTCTCTTTTCTCAACTACTTAATCTTTGTTGACTTTGCCAGTCTGAGGATGACTTTTATTTCTGGTGTGGGTCTTACTTGGAAACTGTAATTTTATCAGCCCTTCAATGGGTTCAATTCATCACTCGTGCTGTAGCTTTCAGGTCTTGTCCGAGTGACAATGACAAAAGGACCAAACTTATTTGTACTTATCATCCCCACAACCTCTTAGCCTAACAGGTTTTCTTTAAAAACTGTGTCATTCTCCTTGCCTACCATGACCCCCACAATTGTTCAACCCCCACTCATTGTGTTCAGAAGAGATTAGAATCTATGAGTCTCCTTGTTTGTAACCACCTCCATGATATCCTTAACACTTTGGGACCAAGCCATGTGGATGCATCCATTGCAAAAATACCCTTTTGTCATCCAGACTTAAAATATTACCTTCCTTAAGTGTAGTTTTCAGATAAGGGTCGGTTTCCTTTGCGCAAGCCACAAAGTTATGTACCGTATGCGTTTGTTTGAAGTTCTGCCAAATGGCTTATCTGGATGAGTTGAGTTGGGGTTTTTCCGACAAAATAAACGGTCATATCAAAAACACTTCAACATAAGCAACCACAAGTGATTTGAAAATTAATGCCATTGTTTCCTATACCCACATGCCCGCCAGGGTGAACAAAGAGAACAAACTGATACACATCTATGGGACTTTGATACCACATGGCGTGAATGTCATGTTCTCCTTCAGTTGTTAGATCTTTTATACACACTTATTTTTTTCAACAAATTACTATGGACCTACTTTTTCATCCTGCTTATATTTATATCAACTCTCTTACCTATAAATTGTCTACCACATTCTTCTTGCTGTTCTCTTGGATGCAACATCTCAGGTAAAAATTTCAGCTAAGTTTTTATATTGTGTTAGTCTTTCTTTGTCGGCTGAAAAATCCTTCTTGGCGACACATTCATTGTTTTGTTGCGTCCTTTTATTCAGGTTTTACCATAATTTGTTTTACATATTTCCTTCCATATGTAGCTCCAGAGCTGCAACTTACCAACCATACCCTAAAGTATTAATCCTTATATTAGGAACCTCACTTCATAGCTTAGTCTTGATAGTGTTTACATCAAATTCCCTTTCATTTAATAGTGTTCTCTAAAAAAATTTTAGAAGAGGGTTAAACCAGGTTTTGGCATCCTATTACCAGAGCAATTTTCAATGGAATATGGAAGACCAAAAAAATGTTAATAATTTCCTTTTTAAAAAATCTGTGGCTTATAGATCATTTGACGCGTAAAAGGAAATAGAAATCCTGCTTAAGAACAATGTTATCAAAAAGGTTTCAGACCCCCTCGGTTAGACTATGATAAAGTTATAAGAATATTAAAAAACAGAAACCATGACTGTAAACAGGTAAGATGAAGCTAGACTTCAGAAAACCAAAGTGATGAATATTCAACAAAATTAATAATTATATATTTTCAGATTTGATGTTTCAGGCATTCACCCAAAATCAAAATCCCCTGGGGCTTTTACTGAGATTCCATATGATAAATCTTATATGCATGACTTGGTAAGTAAAATGTACCATAACACATAAAATATTTTAACTGAAACTCTACTTTCAACATTATATATGTTTTCCATTGTGCAGCAGATAGTTTCTTTAATATTTTTAATTGAATGAAAATATTGGTACATCAGTATTTTTTTATTTTAATTTTTTAAAACTAAATTTATGGCATGAGCCTTTTTATATTAGTCATTTACATTAGATGTGCATCATACAATTATAAATAGTAAGAAGCGAGATCAAAATACATCCTACTTATGTACAATTTTGTTATAACTTATAGAAAATTGATATCATCTCTCTAGCATAGGTAATAAGTGCTTATGGTTATTAATATTTTCAAGGAAGACATGCACCACATTAAAATATGTTTATGTTATCTCAGTGGTGTAACTAATGTGCTTTACAGTACTTAAAGATGAGTCATTCAAAGATAATAACAGTTATTACTATTACACACCTATAGGTGCTTTGATTAAATTATAAAATAGTAGGGTTTTTACACATAAAAAATGAACGATATTAAATAAAAATGACAACCTAAACAAGCTCACAATATTCACAGGGTAAGATTACGTGTGTTTTGAACATAGGCAAGCTCTCTACTTGGTGTGCTTAAATTTTTTCAATAAATGAATAGATTATTTTCTTTTTACAAAATACTGTAAGTTAAATTGCAGTGATAATTTTTCATATAAAATTTAGTATCCACATATCTGCAAATTTCACCACATACATATTAATAAATAAATAGTAAGTCCTCATTAGACTTTAGCCTAAACATTCTGGAAACACACAAAAGTCACATTTGTTAAAAACCACAAAAGGATGACATCATATTTTTAAATGGAAAACTTTTGCTAATATGGACTTAACATGATGACTTGATTTTTAATGTTTAGGACATTGGAACCATACATCATCAGCAATTAGTTCGAGATTGTTCCAAATATGAAAAGTGCACCTTTAATACCATGGAAGATTGTTTAAGCAGTATGAGTAACTCACTAGAAAAAGCAAAAAGCTGCATGACGAGAATTGAGGAAATAAAACTCAGTGCAAATCACAAATGGTCACAACCTAGAAATTCACTTCAAAATCAGAATACAAAAGTTCCTGCCCTACCTAGAACAACCCAGAAACTTAAAGGCACCCCAACCCATAGTAGAATAAGTCAAGGGAAAAAAAATAATTCTACTCCTAAGAAATCCAATAACTGCTCTAGTGTAGTAAACATGACAAACTTTGACAGAAACACATGGAAACACATTAACTGGGGTCTTTTACCACTGAATGTATCTGGAGGCAGCAGCATTTATTCACATTCAAACAAATCGATGAACAACAACGAGAGTCCTGAAAATGATACTCCTGATGAGGGCCAAACAAGGCCATTTGCTTCAGAGCCAATAGTTGAGTCTCCCATCACCATTAACCTTGACACTTTACCAACAATCAATGTTCTACCTGAATCCATAGGAGGGAACCCCCCTCCTCCTAGTGATATATTTTTGAGTGAGCGTCTGAAGAAATTTGATGAAGAAGTTAAAAGAATTTCCTTTGAGAATAGGCTAAAGGTGCTAGCTGATACTTCAAAAAATGTATCAGCGACTGGCACACCGAGACGATCTTCTCTAGATGAAAATTCTATGTCTGATGTGGAGAAAAGGAAAATACCAGAATTGCGAGCTATATTAAGTCGTAATGTGTCTGATCAGGCAATGAATTTTAGGAAAGAAACTGAAGACTCATTAGATTCATCAAATACTGGATTGGAAATTGTCAATGAATCCCAAACTGGATCCAGCACTACTACGGGTACAGAGTCTGAAAGTCAAAGAAAATCATCTACAAGAGATGAAACAGAAAAAACTTCGGTTACTGAAACTGTGGAATCAAGGAGAACACAAAAATCTGCTAAAGCCTTTGAGGGAGAATTAATGACAGCTTCAAATAGCACATTGGTTAATGAAACAATTGCCTTAATTGTAGGACAATCATATTCAGTGGCACCGTCTAGGAAAGAATCAGCTGCTTCACATAAAAGTGCCATTGATGTAGAAAAAGTTTCACCTGCACCAAGCAGTCACCACACACCTAATGGGTCACAAAATCCATTATGTAGCAAGACTGAGTCATTAGAAGAGTCTCAAAAGGCAAAGGGCAGTGAAGATAATATTGCAGTGGGCGAGAACACTGACCATGAAAACGAACTTGTTCGACCAAGCAGTGTCGGCAATACAGAGGAGCTGAAAGATGATTCTGAACAAAAACCTAGGCTTAAAAAGATCTTGTTACTGCCTAATGAAACATGTGATGCATTCTTGGTATAAAAAATTGTATTGTAGGATTTTTTTGTTGTTCTACTTCAAATGATTTACTGTTTTATTTTAAAGTTTTGTTTAGCATTAATTATTTTTCTTTATTACATCAAAAGTAAATACTGAAAGCAAATTATGATTTATCTATTTATTTCTTAACTGCCAAGTTGTTGCTTACTTTGACTTGTTTATTTTAAATGAATTTTATATCATAGAAATGATATGGATGTCAATTTTTCTATGAAAGACAACATCTTTCATGATGGAGATAAAAATACATTTTTGATAATAAACAAAAAGACTAAAAAATTGAATTTAAACTTTAAATTACCTTACAAAAAATGTTTTGGTGATGACGTTTCCATTAACATATTTAGAAACTATTTTACTCAATGATAACATAAATGTTGTTACGATGTTTTTAATATAAGTATTAAATCGTTATTATATTAATTTTTAAATCAAATTTGTTTTAATACAAGCGTTAATTTAAGTTGTTTCATCAACATTTTTATGTTTAAATATTTAAATGCAAGATAAGTAACTTTAAAAAAACAATAAATAATTATACTTTAATGATATCACGTGGGCACAAACAATGTTCAATAGATTTTTTTATCCACTGTGAACAATTTAAAATAAAATCAACTTATTTAACTTATATATTAGGTTATAAGGAAGAAAATGTTAAATTAAATGACATTTAAATTATATTTCTGGTAAAGTATTACCAAACTAATAAAATTTCTACGTATTGTTTAGAAACGTAAACTTGGTCCAGGAGTTTACAACCTCATGTTAAATGGACCTGTTGTGAAAGTTCTAGAAGACAGACCACCAAAGACTGGATGGGCACGTCAAATGGAATTGGAACGATTAGCAGCCTTGCCACATTTGTTATACAAGGAACAATGGGAAGAGAATAAAATGCTGGTAAACTTTAGGAAATGTTCTTTCTTCTGCTGTTTGCAAATTATTCTTGCATCATCCACATGAAAATAGATTAACATCTTAAGTGTCCAAACCTTTAGTTTTGAATGTCTGCTGTTCCAAAGAGAAAAATTGTTGTTGGTTTTGCAAAAAGATAATAGATGAAATTTTTTTTTAAAAATTAATGTTATATTCCGACTTTACAGATGGGAACTCACGACATTACAGATGGGAACAAAATAGCTATAAAAGTGGTGCTAATTATACTTTTGTGTTAATACATTTCATATTATTCAACACATACAAAATTTGTTCCAGAAAAAAAAACTTGGACCAGGTTCTTACAATATTAAAGATTTTATACAACTTTCAAATGAAAAACCCAGAAGTGGAAGGGGAATATTGGACAATCTAGCACCAAGATTTGAATCCAAGCTGTTAGTAAGTGTTCTTAAAGTCAATAACACAGAATTTTTAATTTACATATTTTTTTTTAACAGAACATTTCCTGTTGCTTGAAGTCAATAACTAAATAGAAATTATAACTAGTTAATATCTTAAGTTTATCTTCATTGGTTACATTTTTCAGAGTGCCACACCGGGTCCAGGGACTTATGGAATTAATGGAGTTCCTCAAAAGTCATTGGAAATAAAAGATAACAAGTCAACAAGCACTAAAGGGTTACTTGATGCCGGAGACAGAAAGAGATCTTTGCCATCTGTTGTGAGTTTCTCTGAATACAACATGGGGAAATCCATAGGTTGCATGTGCTAAAAATTGTCTATTTTCTTTACTCCTCCTCCTCCTCCTCCCCCCCCCCCCCCCCAATTTTTCCAATTCCTGAATCTTTAGACTCCTGCCACTTCTAAGCTAACAAAAATTTGCTACAGATATTGAAGAATAAAGTATTAAATAAAGCAAGATTTCACTTTTGGTATATGATTGGTATGTCTATGTCTTGATCAGGAAACATATATTTTTAAAAGAGTTTGAGATACACTATTTGTTGTTAAATCTGTGGACGATTAACAAAAAAAATGTAATGGCACTTCATAGTTTTCAATTACACCCCCCCCCCACCCCCCCATTTTCCCAAATAACTGCAGTAACTATTATTGACAGATTCTCTAGCTGTGAAGTAAATAAAAACTCAAACATAAAAAAATTACATTATCAACACAGGAACTAAAATGAAATTCTTCTAATAAATAACAATCTTTTAACTGTGCGAAAATTTAGGAAATGAAAATAATTTGTACAAAAGTACATTTGTGGAGTAGCTGGTTAAGTTACCTTGATGGAGCTTACATATACTCTTCAGGTAGATATGTATCATTTTTTTTAGGGTTCTCATCTTGGACCTGGAACTTACAACCATAAGCCCTGTACAGAGCAACTTCTCAATAAGGTCACAAGCCTGAAGGGACCTTACAACTTATTCACTGGTGAGCGAGATGATCCAATTATTGCCGGCTATTTAGCAGCTCCAGTAAGTATATTGTTTTGTTTTGTTTAAAAATGTTTATGGGTAGCATATAAAGAGTGCCATCTTTTACGTAGCTTGTTTTCCCACTAATCAAGTATAGTCTGTTCACTGTCACTTTTCCAATCATTATTGTTTTGAGCCCTTCTTTCCTGGCCCCTGCACTATTTCAAGTTCAAAATATTTTTCTAGATCCAAGTATAAAATTATCATCCCCTTTTTCAATATTCATTATGATTTTCACCATGAGAGCGATTGTCTTGTAAATTGGATTTTGACTTTCTCAATTTTTGGCCTCTTCAGTTTCATTATTTCTATTTCCTTCTGTACAGGATCTATTTTTTAGCTTTCCCATGTGAACAAATTTGGGATATTTTAAAACCTTTTTAAATTTAAGTTCCACCCAAGATTGTAAATGAAACACTGATATTGAATTTCATACTTCTCTATGTTTTACCCTACCATGAAGAGAAAGACATTTGACCTGAATTTCTTCAATTCCATTTTTACTCTGATAGATTTATCCCTATATTGCCATATATTTTCCCCAAATATTAAAATACTCTTGTACATTTCTTTAACATGGTCTTGGAAATACTAATATACACAAAAGATAGTAACAAATGGCAAGCAGAAAGGGAAAACAATAAAATCAATAAGCCCTAATTAAGCATATCAAATCCAATGTGTTCATTACAGAAACTAGCAAATCTGGGACCAGGTCAATATGAGGTGAAATCATTCATTGATGACCTTAATACAGAACATAAGAAAGGTTGTGGACGCTTTGGAAAAGCCTCCCAGTACCCTGACCTGCATACTGATCCAATGGTGAGTGTATGTGATGTATATTCTTTAGTCAGTTTAAGAGATGTTCACTTTGATTCTAATGTGGGTTCAATTCATAATAATATTTTAATGAATTTAAATATTTTACTGAATTGTAAAAAAAAAAAAATGTCATTCCTTAACCTGGCATCATGCAGATTTATTTTTCTAAGAGATCTGTTATCTGAATAATGTTTAGTGCTTTTTTTTGCTTGATTAAATTTGAAACATGAACTGTAGCACTATTAGTAATGCCTAACTAAAATACTTTCTTATCAAAAATAAAGTTTAGGCAAATGTAAATATTTTCTTAAGGACTTTCCTGGGCCTGGAACATATGATCCAAAGTTGCCTAAATGCTGTTCGTGTCGAGATAGCACGCAAGAAAATCTGCAAAAGTGTGCTAAGGGTACAGAGAACTTGCCAGGGTTTCTGTCCTCTGCCAAACGGGATGACAAAGTTTCCCAGAAATTTTTCATTGGCAACTACGTAAGTGACTCTAGTGCCAGCCCTTTAATGATATTAATCTCAATTTTCAACCATATTATTTCAGATTACATTATAAGAAAAAAAACAACAAATTAAATTGTTGGAAGAAGAAAAAAAAAAAGAGCCATGACACATTACTACAGGAGCACAATTTTTCCCACACATGATTACTATATAAGCTGCTTTGTTTATACATCCAAGATCCATTATTTTTTTCGGAATAATTTCATGTTGAATAAAGAACGCAACAAATTTCTCATAAATTGAGCATAGCTTCTTACTCCAAATTTAGTTTTCACAAATAAAAAATGTTTATCATTTTTATTTTTCCGTTTTTTTTTAAATTTCTCCTTATTTTCACCCCACTGTGAACGTGATTAGAGCATAATCAAAGTATGCATGTACCCAAGATAAAATCAATCCAGAGTTTCCCAATATTCAAACTGCTCTAATAGATTATTCTTCACTGTTATAAAATACTTTAAGGCCATTTTACCTACCTAGGGAGTTCACACAAATCTGTATCATCCTTACTTACATTCCACCTAATGCTAACAAGGAGCAAGCTACTGAGAGACTTTTGGTTGTAATCTATGATTTCGAAACAAAAAACCCAGACTCCGTTTGTCTTGTTATGGGGGACTTTAATCAACTATCACTGAATAAATCCATCCCAACTTAGATCCAGTACGTTACTTGCCCCACGCGACAAGACCGAACTCTGGATATGTGTTATGGTAATATAAAAATGGCCTACACATGTCGTGCTTTATTTCCACTTGGAGAATTCCATCACACAATGGTCCACCTAACGCCATGCTAAAAATTCAATAAAAAACTATTGAACTGTGATCAGATGAGGCGACAGAGAAACTTCAAGTCTGCTTGGAATGTACAGACTGGGACACGTTTATAAACACTTGCCCGGACATTGACGAGCTAACAAACACTGTCAATTCCTATATTAAGCTCTGTGTAGGCAAAATTATTCCCCAAAAAACAATCCGAGTATTCAACAACAACAAACCCTGGATGAGCAGAGAAATAAAGGAAGCCATACACCACAAGAAGATCATGTTTAAGATTAACGATCAGGAATTCATTAAAGCTAAAAAAATATAACAGGGTAAAAAACAATAAAAGCAAAAAATCGAAAAATTATTCACTACTAACAATTCAAAGGCTTGTTGGGCAGGACTAAAGCAAATAAAAGGACATACTCCTAAGCAAGAATGCTTATGTGTTGAGGACGTGAGGAATTTTTTTAACGACTTAAATGACTTTTATTGTCGTTTTGACAGCCTGGACTTTGGAAGAGTGCACAATGAGATGAAGAATTCATTTCAAGATGGCAGTAGTACACAGGATGGTACTTTATTGTTTACCGAACGGACAGTGATGTCATTATTTAACCAAGTGGATGCAGCCAAAGCCTCGGGACCAGACAAATTAAGTGGTCGGCTCATTAAACTATGTTCAGAGCAGCTCTCCTACATTTTTTAAAAAATATTTAATAAATCTTATGTAACTCACACAATACCAGCAATTTGGAAAACTTCAGAAATCATACCAATTCCAAAGAAAATTAAGGTAACTTGCAACAACGACTTACAACCTGTTGCACTTACCTCTATTGTCATGAAATGTTTTGAGAAAATAATTCTGAAAGAAATTTTGAATGAAGTACAGCAAAAACTTGACCCCACCAATTTGCTTACAAACCTGCCAGAAGTACGGAAGACGCAATCTTATTATTGTTGGAGAGACTTTACCATCACCTAGACAGTCCTAAAACATATGCCAGAGTGCTTTTCTTAGACTTCTCATCAGCATTTAACACTATCCAACCACACCTTATGATAAAGAAACTTTCCTCGTTAGGTGTCAATTTAAATATTCAGGCTTGGATACTGAACTTTTTAACAAATCGACCACAATATGTCAAAGTAAATAACCAAGTATCTCTAACCAGAGAAATAAGCACCGGGACACCACAAGGCTGCGTTCTCTCTCCTGTACTGTATGCAATATATACAAATGATATTCAAAGCTCAAGCGACACCGTTCCAATCTTAAAATTTGCTGATGATACCACCATTGTTGGCTTAATATCTGAAGGAGAAGGCCTATACCGCAACTTAGTTACAAGCTTTATCAGTTGGTGCGATGAAAATTTTTTCCAGTTGAATGTCTCAAAAACAAAAGAAATGGTTGTTGATTTCAGGAGGGGGAAATACCAGATTACAGATCTCAACATAAAAAATCAAAATGTGGAGAAAGTGCATACAAGTACTTAGGTGTCACCATTAATAATAAGCTAACATGGCATGAGCACGGCCAAATGCTGTATAAGAAATTCAACCAAAGACTGTTCTACCTCAAAAAACTACAATTTCTGCGTAAAAAATCAAATCGTTAACTTATTCTACAGTGCAACTATTGGAAGTCTGCTTAATTTCAGTATTACCTGCTTGTGTGGGAATTCAATGTCTGATATTAAACACCGCATAAACCGACTAATCAAGAAAGCTAGGAACATAACACAAACTAAACATCCTTCACTTGAACAACTATTTGAAGAAAGATGTTTTTGTAAAACTAAACATATTTTGGATGATACATCCCACCCTCTTCATCACAGATACTGAAGATCGGGCCGTTCAGGACGAATTCTTTCCATCAGGGCGAGGACTGACAGATATAAAATTTCTTTTGTTCCCCAACCTGTACGAATTTACCGGTGTGCTTCCTCTGAAGTCACACATCTGAATGAGAACTAATAAGTCCCCGATTTTGCTAAGAGAACTCACTGAATGGCTGTTTGAAATAATTTATTATAAATGTCTTGTCTTCAAATTGTTTTATTTTTGTGCTGGAAATGTATAATGCCATCAAAAAACATTTCCATTTATTTGGATCAATAAAAGAATCTTATCTTATCTTAAATTTGTCAAAGATCAAAGTGGGCTGGCCATGACCTAGGGACTGACCTTGACCTAAGGATTGACCTTGACCTAGGGGCCGGCCTAGGGGTTCGCTATGACCTAGGTTAAAGATCATGTTTTTTAAAAACTAAAAGCTATTGCTATTGTAAAACCATTAATTTACAAACCATAAAACTTAAACTCATATTTCCAAGTTATACCTCCAGTTATTTGATCAAAGTACTGCCATATATTCTCCATTCCTAAAATTTTAATCCAACACAGCGCTTCTCAAAGTGGTTGCCCATTATGCTGGTCCACAAAAGTAAAAATTTAAGAAGCTAGTAAAAGAACAATACTAAATAAATAAAGTGTTATTCCCCTTCTCGAAAATATCCACTTTGGAGCAGGGGCATAACACTTTGCTGTCTGTCTTTCTTTCACACTGAGAAGTTGTAAGGGCACCAACCCACCAGACTTTCTAAAATATAACAATTTAAGTGATTTAACATATTGAACTCTTTTTTTTTTCTTTACATCCAGAACCCTGTTGGTGCGGGACGTTATGATATACAAAAATTTGAAGAGGCTGCAGATGTTAATGGACATACAAGTGTCTTTAAATCAAAGACAGGAAGACCTAATTTTCAAGTGTCCAAATTTTTGCAGTATGTACCATTGTTATCACAAATATGTTTTTTTTTTAAAGTGAAAAATAAACAACAAAAAAAAACAACAAATTAAATTTGGTGCACAATTTAATACATCACCAAACATCCATCTTTTCTTCCAATGATTTTTACCAGTTACCGAGCAACATTAAGTAAGGAGTGTTAATTTAAATGATCGCAGTTTCCAAAATGCATTGAAAATATTACCTCGATCTTCATTTCTTCCAGGGAGAGATTACGTGGCAAAGACCTGTGCCCAGAAGATAAGATCTGTGTTGACAGAGTGAAAAGGTCCATCACTGCCATGTAACCATTGTTCCTAAATAGGAATATTTCAAATAGAAGACGTCTTTCATTAATTTACATGAACTTAAAAAAAGATGCAGCAACAACACTACTGTCAATGAGAACAGTAGTATAGAGACCACCTTTGGAGAATTTATCATTAAACATGAAAACTAGGTTACCTCTTGTCTGTTAGTGGGTAGGTCTACTTCATAGAAGAACAATTTATTGAGAACCTCTCTACTTGTGCACATTCAATGATCGTCCTTCCACCGTTAAAAAAAAAATATAGCTGTGATAAACTTAGTTAACAAAATAAAACTAGTATATCATTGAGTACATACCTTGTTTTACTATTTTATACCATTGAGATGTGTTGCGCTATGTAGTTACAGCACCATTAACCAGACCCAGTATTAAAAATGTCCACATGACTCCCCTTTATTTTACATACATTTTGTTAATGCATATGTACTTTATCCAAATAAATTTAGTTTACCTGTAAATGATAGAGCCCTTTTGGAGATGACAAAAAAAAATAAAAAATTCTGACGTTGAATTTCAATGAAAATAAGATTATTGTGTCTATTATTTAGATATATAGGGAGTATTTGTTCAGCAGCACAGGAAGTAGAAAACCCCCAAGCAAGGGTAATTCACAGAATCATTTTAAGAAACTAGCAAAGGCGAACTATAACTTAAATTATAAATAAACTCTAATTTAGAAACACTGAAACCTAGGCACAAATTGTGACATAACTCTTCTATGCAAATTTTCAAGCATATATTTATATGCTACTCATTATACTAGTTACTGATAGTGGCTAACAATAATTGTGAAATTTATGAGATTTGCACATATTAGTTCGATAGTGGTAATTGGTTTGAAATATTCTTTTATTCATTCAGCTTTACATTTACCCAACCTTAGTCTCCTCTTTAGTTGGAGTAAAATGCATTTTGTTGTTTTCTTTTTGCTCTTGGGTAAAACAAGGTAAATTTACCAACATCTTGCTTTCTCTCCCCATTTTTTATTTATAAATATAAACCAAGGCAAAACTTCATTGAGTTGTGTTCTCTCTCGCTCTGTGCCCCATAGTTAAACTGTAAATTTTGAAACTCTCAAATTACAATGTGACCTAAACATGAATAAAAATCATTCATCTATGCTGAAGATATGGCAGATATTTTGTGTGTACAAATCTTTACATGAAATTCAATTAATGTTTCATTATTCGTTTGATATGTTGATTAATTTTTTCCTGTTGGTATATATTTGCTTTGTTTCTTTAAAGTTTTTCAAAAATTTTCTCATTTGATATTTTAACAAGACTTTCTGTGTTCAAGAGTAACTCTTTTTCCCCCATTCAGTATTATCTTTTAAATTAAAGTTGATGCTCAGTTTCTTTCAAAATATGTGAATATCTTATAACAATAAATGCATGCTGTATTGAAACTGCAAAACTAAAATTGGTTCTATTAAATCTAAATTAAACAGGTAAGTCTCAATTGGTCTATGAATTTTATATAATGTGAGTTGTACATTGTTACCTGTTTGCATCTAGTGCAACCCAAATTTCATTAATGCTGCTAACATATTTTGAACAATAAAAAAATTATATTTTTGTGAATGACCTTGAAAATATATTACTTTAATTTTATTTCCCTCTTAACAATTAAATTATAATTTATTTTTATTCTTTCACATTTTTGTTAAATAACATTTACACACTTGTTAAATATTTTATTGCCCACTTCTTGAGCAAGAACAAATTAAAAAATAATATACTAATGATCAGTTTGAATGGTGTGTAATCTATTAATGGGACAATTTTATGGAATTTTTTTCTCTGCACCAATTGAGACCTACTTTGAATTAGAAGTTAATCAACCAAACAAAAATTAAATTCCTTATACATTTTATAACAAGTGAGAAGTAGAATCTCTGTAATAATTTTAGTATTATTAGTGTTATTGTTATGGAATAAGTTTTATTAATGTTTATATGCAAGAACATTGAATGTTGTAATGGCTCTATGGAATATAAAGTCATATTATTTTTTATATATATTAAAACAACAATTTTAGTACAGCCAGTACAGTAATAATTTGGTGATATGTGAACATTCTGTATGTGGTTCTGATATGAAAATTGTATGTTCCATTGGTGAAGAAATAAAACTTTTTTGATTGAATAACAATTTATTTTATTTTATTAGATGATCATCCATTTTTTTTTTTTTTTTTTTTTTTTTTTTTTTTTTTTTTTATTTTTTTTTTTTTTTTTTTTTTTTTTTTGGAATGTCATTTAAATTTATTCACTCTAGAAATAACTAAAAAAATACAAGAACTCAAACAGTTGCACCTTTTTATGAATTTTTTAACTGCATTTATTCAATAGAGCCCCATGTCGCTGAACAGTCTCTAGCAGGACATTTTTTTTCTGATCCTTGTTTTGAGAATAGATTATTGGCACACTTGAGATGTAGTTTTATGCCACAGTTTGCACATGTCTCACCCTGAAAAAAAAATAATAGACTTAATTGACAATACAAGTATCACATTCAAGATAGAATGCCTAATTTAACAAGGAATAAATCCTTCAAATGAATACACTGCCTGAAGGTTTAAAAATATAAATAAATAATATTTAAAAAAAAACAACTATAAAGCTTTCTTGTTTAAGTACATTTCTGCTTCACTCCATTATTTTAAAGTACATTTAAAAAATTTATTTTACAGTCACAACGTGCTGAAATTTGAAGCAAAAATAAATAAAAGTCACCTAATACAGAATTTAAAGGTCTAAAAATAGCTTTTTAAAAATCCTTGCTATCAATGAGAGAATCACCATACATGTTTCAATTTTATAGTGGAGCATTGAGTTTTTTTGGTTAAAAAAAAATGAAACCCAAATTCAAAAATTTGTAGTTAGTATAAATATCTGAAAGACTGCAGCAGTGATTCTGATTTCACTATCAATGATCAATAACTTGAGTAATCATGAATGAATGGACAAAGCTGTCATTAGATTTTGGTCTCAGAGAAGATAGAAAATAAGTATTTTATATACTATTATACTTGCAATAAATATTTACTACTAGAATTTTGTCTGAAATCTCACGGTTAGCTGTGAGATTCCCCCAACCCTCCATTTTCAGTTTCTGATTTACAGAGAGCGCATAATTAGAATTTAGAAGCTTTCTTAAAAGATGTAATAAATTAGGCATAATTTAATGGTTGACTTTCAGCAGTAAAATGTGATCACATAAACTTTCACTAACATTTGCTTTTTAAACTATTATGTTGAGAATTTAAGATTCACCATGTCTCCAAACCTTATAATTTTGAGTGCTATTCATTCCAGCAATGACAATTGAACTGGGTAAAAAACAAAATATATATCAGTAAAAGCCATTGCAGTTGGCAAAAGTCCTAGTCTAGTTTAAAGTTATTATACTTGTTAAAATTTTTTTTAAAAATTGGAAGTATCACTCAATTAAATTTACTTACCAAAAGACATATCTTAGAGCAAATATTACATAATTTGATGAATTCAGGATACATATCTTTTAAGTACTGTTCCAGCTCCAGAATACTTCTAACACTCAGTGAGATTTTCCCATCTGTGTCCTGAAACATTGAAGGGCAAAAAATATTTCAATTAAAATGATGACCAGATCAGAAAACTGCATGGATTTGAGCACTACAAATTTTGAATACCTTCAAATTGTAATATTGTCCACTACATCATTAAAATATTATAGCAGTAAATACGTCTTCACTACACGTTTCCTGTAATATTCACTTTGTTTACAGCAGCACAATTTGCATGTTTTTGCACATATGAAATGAATTTTGTACAATATTCTTTCATGCTCTGCTTATCAGAGACAACCAAATGTGCATGAAGCAAACACTCACTTTTTTAATCCATTTATCCCTCTCAAGCCTGTTGAAGAAATCTTGGCCCTCTTCCTTCCCCATTTTTTTATCAAGTTTGTCAGTAAGACTAAGTGCAGCCAATGATCCCATTTTCCCATCATCGGTGTCAACTATCTTTTCAACCTTTATTAGGGTAAAAAATAGAAGAATGAATAAGATCTATAGTGAATTTGCAGAATAAGAAAAGTCTAGGAGCTTTTAAATTTGTGAAACAGTTTATGTAGGCACTCAAATTAAAATTCAAAGGTTTAAAATTAGAATTTGTCATGCAAATAGGAAGTCATTTATTCTAGTTTTTGTATTCTTGTTATCAATAAACCACAACATAAATTCTCTTTATGATTTGACAGGTTTATTTTTTTATCAAATCCCATGAAAAAGATAATTTTCAAAAATGAAACATTTACCAATTTTTTGAAGAGTTCCAGTTCATTGGGTGTGTAGGTTGATGACAGTCGTGTCAATGAGGTCTCTACAGTGTTAACCTTTAAAAAGTAAAATCATATTTAAACAGATATTCAACTATTGTAGGAAATTTAAATTTAATTATAGTCCAAACTTCTCATAACAAACAACTTGCATGCAGTTCAACATTTTAGATTCTTATTAAGAATTATGAAATTTGCTTTCTTTAAATTTATTTAAGACTTTACAAATTTTACAAACCTACCAGGCAATAAAAATGAGCACCGTCATCTTCCTGAACACCTTTCCTAATCTCTAAGTTAAAGGGAGCAATAGCTTCATTGGCAGCCTGGACAAACCGGATCAAATCATCATTAGATTCAGCATGAACTCCAATTTCTGAGAATTAAACAAAACAGTGAGAAATTTCTTTGTTTTTTTTAAATAATCAGGAAATCATAGGCAGAATCTAAGCTTGATGTGAAAGTTTATAACTGATTATATCAGCACAGTTTCTCAAAAACAATGAAATCTGTTTGGAATAATGAAATCTCCATACTGGTAATATTCTGCAAATTTAAATGCAAAATCTGACATCTGAGATCAGAGTACAAGTTCTGGTTCTGGGAAATAAATCGCCACAATGAAAAGTAGGCTGTAATCAGTAAAATTAGGTTGAAACCAACAGTGGCCTTAATAAAGTGTGCTATTGATGAACATAGCACTAAAATTCAGGGCTTTATAAAAGGTTCCATAAGGACTGAGCTGGTTACCAGGTCCGGTTATTTTGAGAACATATCTGGCAGATCCAAGTCTGGGTATTAAAATTCAGAAATTATCTATAGGCAATAAGAAAAAAGTTCCACACAAAGGGGAAAAGTGAAAACTGCATGTATAGAATCAGTAGTGATCGTGAATGAATCACAGCTGAAGGCTTCATAACGCTAATTGAATATAACACTAACCCATAAATCTAAACAAAAATCAAACATGGAGTGGAGCTGCATTATACGAGTGAATGCTACTCGTCACTGGTTGGTAGTGTTTTATCATTTTCCTTAGACCAATTTTCAAAATATTTGTAAAAAATGTGCATATAGTTTTCTTTTTAAAACCCAGACACAGTTCTGTTTCATTGGCCTGTTATGCCTATTTTCTGGGCGTGTTTTATTTTAATTACAAATTGGAAAAATATTTCTTATTCAGTTACTAACTGAAGTCACTGAGCAATATGAGACTATTTAATCATCTTTCATTTAAAAAAAAAAAATTTAATGTCTATTTAGTCAATGGAACCATGGGTACATGCCAGCACTTTGTATGACAGTAAAACGAGTTTATTTTAAAAATTATTTTAATGTTACAAATGGCAAATGAAAGGTCCTTGAAGCAGTATTCACTTGTCTGCTCATAGTTTCCATGACCACATAATAAACTTAATGATTAGTGACTAAGAGGATTAAGGTCCATTAGGCCCTATTTATTTTATATTTAAATTTAGTATTTAAATTTAATGTTGACAAGGCATACCCATAGTCAACCTTGTCTAGAGAGTTCAACCTAAGAACCCTCCCCAACTAAAATCATAAACTGCCAGGGGTACAAGTGTACCCCAGGAGAAAAACAAAAACAAATAAGTAAGTGAAAAGCGTGTTATTTCCCTTTGATATAATGTAATACATAAATGATATTATTTGAAAGCATATCTAATGTACAGTTACCCTGGGTAGCACAGGGCTGACATATTTTCATTTGAGGATCTGCACCATAAATTTCTTGTAAGCATAGAAACATCATTCAATTTTAGAATCTTGCACAATAAACAAATTGTTAATTGTTATAAAAAATACATTAACACTACCCATGTGTGCTGAGCTACCCAAGCACTTTGGTGTACACCTGTTTACTAAAGGATTGTTGCTCAAGAACGGACAACAACAGCTTCAAGATCAAGTTATAGGAAATGAGCAAAACAAACTATGGGGAAAAACCTGAAAAAAGGATGCAACAAATCGAACAAACCAATATATTATATATCCACGTCTACATACTCAGAGAAACAAAAAAAAAAATTAAAATAAAATGTTGTACCCAATGTTGTGGGGTACCTCAAGCCTCAGGATGGGTTTAAAGTGAATTTTAAAAATAACCCACTTCTAGAGTAGTCTAGACCTAACTGAAATATTGATAAAATATAACATATTTAATATGCCGTACCAGATTCAGGTAAAGTGGGGGTAATCACAAATAATCATTATGATTATGCCTACTATTATTATTTAATTTTGTTAGACGTGTGCCTTCAGACTTGATATACTAGTAGAGATTAAGCATGGGGCCATCCATTTTGGCATATTTACACCCAATGTGTGTGTTTGTGTTTGTGGGCGTTAAAATTTTGCACACAAAAAAATTGATGCTGCAAAACTTTGCACACAACTGTATGATTTTGCACACGAACCAACAAACCTTAGAGGGAACATTGTTTAACCCCCCCCCCCCTTTCCCATCTATGTCCTCAGTCACAAATTGGTAACACAAATTAGACACTTTTGCCACACATTAACTTAATATAGTCACTAATTGTGTGACTCCCCCTCCCTTACAGTGCCTACAGACAGTGTGGGCAACTCAATAAAATAACATTGACAAAATTTGTAGAGCACATTTTGAAACAAACTTGCTGAACACTTGGACTATGAAGCTAAAAAATGTTTCAAATCTCTCATTCTAACATTATATTAATCAGAGTAATAGTAATGTATATATCTGACCTCCCTGTGCCTTATGCTCTATACTATAAATCAGGCCTGCACAACTCAAAATGTAATACTTAATGAAAAACTTGTGCGGGCCAAAAGAAAGTAGGACAAAACTTTTGCGGGCTAAAAGAATATAATTAGGTCATGGGGAAAGCTATTAAGAAAATAATAAGAATAAAAAAATATTTCGTTACTTCGCGGGCCGCAAAGTGGGTGCTGGCAGGCCACATGCGGCCCGCGGACAGTATATAGCCTATGTTGTGCAGGCCTGCTATAAATAATATAAATATATGAATATAATATAATTATAACATAATATAGTCATTGTATAATTTGTCTGTAGGCTACTGTAGGTAAGTAAGAGTAAGACTATGTGAGGGTGAAAATATTAATTTATAGTCATATAATAATAAATTATCATAGTAATACATTTGTGAGTATATATAAATTATAATTATATACACAATATAATTTATAATGAATGACTAGTTCTAGTTCTAGGTTCTAATTCTAAGCCTAGGCCATGCCTATGACTCTATACTCTTCTATTCTTCAAATTCTTCCTATTTAAATTTAAGTATTTTTAAACCAGTTTTAAATCTTACAAATTTTGATTCTAATTAAATTAGTAATTTATTGAATTTGATTATTTTATTTATTATTCACCACACCTTGTCGTAGATTCTTTACTTCTTTAGCATTTAAAATTCCTCTTGACATAAAAGTTTGTAAAAATTTTTGCATTTGAATCTGTGTCTCTGTTCCATTCATCTTTTTACTTTAAAAGAATTGTTTGTCCAAAGTTAATTTTCGGAGACTAAAGACCTCGCATTTGTTTACAAAATGGCGACAGCTTTACACGTGAAGGAAAAGGCTGCATGGAAAACAGTTTCTATTCCTCAAGATTTACTTGATGTCGAGGAATTTGATGGTCTTGTCGACATTCAAGAGCTAACGGATTATGAACTCGTTCCTTTTATTGAGGTTCAACATATTCTTCTAATTTAAACTGAAATTGTATTTTACAAATGATAGGAGCCGTTTGGCGTCCATTACTTCACTTCAGGTTGACACAACCAGTTGAGTTAATTCTGTCACCTAACTAAATGTATCCCTATGCCTAACCTGAACCCTAAATCGATCCCTCAACCTAACCTAAACCCTAATTCTCTGCAACTATAATAATAAACACGTAAATAACGGTAGATACTTTGGTCAAAAATGTAAACATTTTTTAAAAATAAACCAATGGCACAGTTGAATAGAGCTAATTTTAAACAGAATTATAACACCAAAATCATATTTTTAGCTGTTGTAGTTTTAAAGTTATGAATTTTTAAAGTACGACTTGGTTTGTCCTTTTTTAACATGGACTGCATCTCCATATTCTGTGACCTCATTCCGCCGATCGCGTCATGCGCAATGACTATATAGTTTATATAAGGCTAAGGCATTCCCTTATCACTAAAATACTGTTTAGGGTCGATTTATTTTAAACTTTCAACTTTGGCACATGAATAATTAATTAAAGCTTTCCCTGACCAATGGTTTAATAGTTTTTGCACACGGCAAACACTTATGAATGAAACTCTGAGATAGTACTACGATATAGCCGTTATGCAAGTGGCTGTGAATGGTTGCCAATGACAACGTGTTGCACACGGAAATTTCTGATCATTTATAATATGGACTCTACAGGGTTTTTAAAGCTCAAATTAAAACATTCCAGTTTAAATGTCTTCAAAATGCATTCTGAAACACAATTTATCAAATATTTTGATGTATATAGTGGTAATAATTAAATATTTCTTAAGTATCGGCAACTTCCGCCATTAAAAAGGGGGCGTGGCCCACGCCATGTCGAAATAAGGCGGAGCCCCCTTATGGTGATATGGGTCACTGGGAGAAGCGTAGCGAACGTGGGACACGACCTACATCAATGAGAATTGGCACAGATATATATCAATATCTGATGCCTTACACGATTTAATATGAAAGACATGTTCCTTTTATTTCACAAAAAATTTTGTATTCGAAGATGCCTTATATATACCAAAGATTTTCAAAATGAAGTTCGATTGAAAAAAGCAAAATAGTTGGATGGAAATGTAGGCCAAGATGTCTTCCAAATTATAAGGCCGGAAACGGAACTCAAATATATGTCCAAAGAACTAATTTAATAATAAATAGACACACACATCGGAAGAAAAAAAACTCGGATTTTTCGGCGCCGACGCCCATTTCCGATACAAAAAAAGTAGTAGTCTCTCTTGTTTTATCGAAGTATCTACAGGGACAGGTAAATTTGCAGAGATAGCACCGTGACCCCCATCTTGGTTGCCGCGACCCGCAAACTTATGTCCTAAATGTATCCCTTAACCTAACCTGAAACCTAATTCTATCCCTAAACTACCTAACCTGAACCCTAAGCTTATCCCTTTTTTTACCCTATCTGAACCAGAGTTTTGACTTTGACACTATCAGAACCATAACCCTATCGGAACCAGGGTTTTGACCCTATGGAAACCAGGGACAAAATACTCAAATGATGTCGAGGTGCTATCTCTCCAAATTACCCAGTGACACCCCTAGAATATTGGTATTGGAAATGGGCGTCAGCTCAATGAAATCCGAGTTTTTAATATAATATTTTGATGTTTTGTAATTTTAATAATACAGGAGTCCTTTTGGCCCATAATTAAGGTCTGACTCGCCCATTCACATTAGGAGAAATATTGACCTATATTCCCATTGAGTTTTTTTGTTTTTTATATCAACTTTAAAGTAGCGAGGAAAATTGTATGTCAATATAGGGCATCTTAAAGAAATTCGAAGATAAGGTCTTTCATATTAAAACTGGGAAAGCATTATATATTTGTGTATATGTGTACCAATTTTCATTGATGTAGAATGTAGGTGTGTCTGACATTCGCTACGCTTGTCCTTGTAACCAGCATTACCATAAGGCATAAGGTCGCTCAGCCTAATTTTGACGTGGAGTCAAATGGAGGAAGATGCCGATACTTAGGAAATATTTCATTATAACTGCTATTTACATCAAAATATTTGATCAATTATGTTTTAGAATGAATATAAATGTTATTGAAAGAATAATATTTTTATTTGAGGTTAAAAAAACCAGTAGAGTCCATCTTATTAAAATACATGATCATTATTTCAGTGTGCAAAATGTAATGGCCATGGGGGCAGCCATTCACAGTCACTTGCATAATGGCTATACCGTAGCTCTATCTCAGAGTTTCGTTCATAAAAGTTTGCCTTGTGCAAAAACTGTTAAAGCAATTGGTCAGGGAAAGCTTTAATTAATTAGTCCTGTGCCAAGTTGAAAGTTCGAAATAAGAAGTTCCCAAAAAGTATTTTAGTAATTATGGCAGGTTTTGCCTTATATAGACTATAGCATATTTATTTATTTATTTATTTATTTATTTAGGCATTTTTATATAGCGCTTACCTTAAAGCTCTAAGCGCTTTACAATTATTAAAAACATGTAAACTAACTAAAATAAAAATGAGACATTAGGATAGTAACTACTATACTATAGAAACAATTAAAATGGCTATAAAACTAGGACACTTTGACACGTTTTGGCCCATATTACAGGATTAACGCGAAACAGAAAATGAGGCAGGGCAAGGAGGGTGTATTACAGGTATAGGCGGACCTAAACAGATGGGTTTTAAGGGACTTTTTAAAAGCGGACGAGGTTTCACAATGACGGATATGGAAGGGGAGCTGGTTCCAGAACATGGGCCCATGGAAGTAGAAGGAGCGTTCACCGATGGTCTTAGTTTTGGTTCTTGGGATTGAGAGGGTTCTGTTGTCAATGGAAGAGCGTAGTTGTCTTGTGGGGATGTAAGGAAGCAACATTATATATAGCATATATAAGTATAATGGACGCCGTAGATTTGGTAAACAGAAAAGCCATATATTAATACATTATATTAAATTTACTGATATAAATAGTGCATTGTTAGATAAGCTACAATTTATCTATAATTGTATAACATTATCAAAATTATTTTTTAATTATTTTTTTTTGTTCTGAAAATAAAAGTTCTATAAAATTATAATTAAGCAAGAGTTATCTAGGTTGTGACGCTAACAGCGGAATTGGGTCACAGAATGTGTAGATGCAGTCCATGTTAAAAAAGGACAAATGAAGTCTTACTTTAAAATTTCATAACTTTAAAACTACATCAGCTAAAAATATGATTTTGGTGTTACAATTCTTCAAAATATTAGCTCTGTTCAACTATGCCAATGGTTTATTTTTACAAAAAGTTTTAATTTTTTTATCAAAGTACCTACTTTGTCCTGGTCTTGAGAAAGGAAATATGATCTTTTGAAAATGTATTCTTCGCACCGGGATGAGTGTGTTTTGTTTATTCTTAAACTGTTACTTGAGTTAGCTTTTTTAAAAATTATAATTTCATTGGGTAGCTAATTATAATAATTGGTAAACATTGACTTGGTTGCCATGACCTATGAAAGATCATGGGTCATGGCAACCTAGGTGGTGGCCTTGTAAAAAAACACTTCTGCTAAAATGGGGATGTGAAAGGGAGAGAAATTTCTGGTTTAGCTATTTACAGTGATAAACAAAAATAGGTACAAAATGTTATAGGCCTAATTTAATTAAACAATGACAGCCGGGGACATAAATTTCAGAGCAAATGAAGCTACCTTATTCTATCCTTCTAGATATGTCTCAAGAACTCTCAATGATCTGCAGTTGCCACCTTTACTGGCCTAATTTCAGCTGGTAATGCTTCCTTCCCTCAACTAAAAAACTTCTGCAGATTTGTGCAAACTAATTTTCAAATAATGGAAACCCAACTTACAGTTTCATAGAATACACTTTTACACACTTTATGTCAAGTTCCAACAAAAAGAAAATCTGAAAGGTGTTGTCAGAAAATCAATACAATGCTTTAGCCATTTTCCAAAATACCTGAAAATTTAAATAATATAATTAGCCAACCAATGAAATTTTAATTTAAAACATTCCATCATCACATTAAAGAAAAGTTAACTCTTGTAACAAGCCAAGAATAAACAAAAGGGAGAAAATCCTCCACACCAATTCATCGGGGTGTGAATTGTGGAAATTGACAAAAAATATTATTTTAGCAATGAAATTAAAAATCAAATAGAGGACCACGTCAATTAAAATATGGTTTATATGAACCCTGTGTGATAGATGCACAGCAGGGAAAGCACTTTTTCCTTGGCATATGTACTACACCACCACCCCCCTCCCCCGAACTAGGATTGAAAAGCTTTTGAAACATAGCAAAAGTGGGTAACTTTAGACCATCCCTTTTCCCAGTTTTGGGTACTACTTTTTTACCTGGCTGCCTCTTTGTTGTCATTTTTCCCTAACTAAATGCATGATTTTAATTTTTTAAAAATGAAGTTTCTCTTGCAATCTATTTGTGCTTTAGTGCTGTGCATCTATCTAGCATGTGTTCATTCGAGGTGCCAAAAATTCACAATAGTTACGTCTTTCTGTATGAAAAGGACAGGATAACAACCATTGAAACAATTGTACTAGATTTAAGAACAAAAAAAGTATTAAATTTTCTGGTCTATAGGCTACAGAGAGCTCTTCCCTCATTGAGGTATTCTTCTTCTTTAAAAAAAATGTAACCACCAGATGAATGTTATTAATCAATAACCCATTAATTTATTTCAAATACTTTAGGCCTATTAAATTCACTTTACATATGCTACCAAATGTTACTCTTTTCAGAAAATGTTTGCATTTTGTTAATTCTACAGACAATGTGTAAAAAATGTGTTTTATGGGGGTAGTAATGAATAGTACTTAAATGATTGCACTGTAATGGCCGTTAACTTAGGACACTAAAATATAATATTACTGTTGTAGTCCAGACCTAATTTATATATCAGTAAATAGGCAAATGTAAACATTATATTTTGTGTCTTGCAGGAACCATCTCTTTATTCAATAAAGGCAATAGCAATCCTTGACAATGATGGAAACAGACTACTTGCAAAGGTGGGCCTCTTGAAAACTTTAGCGAAATTAAAAGTTAGCTGCATCATATTAACACAGGCCAATAAAGCTATGTTGGATCATTAACACTTGAGCAAATTAGTAAATTCCAGGAAAAACTATGAAAGCTACTGGGTTGTTGTTTTTTTTACGCTACTTTAATAACTTGAGTGCAGCATTTTCTCTAATTAAAAAAACTAATTATTTTCAACTTATCACTAACATTGTTTATTTGCTTGATTAATTTTTTTTTTTTTTTAAAAGGATACATCGAAGCAAATTAAAGCAAATTAAATAGCACAGATTCTTTCAATATTTTAGTTTGCATTCGATATATAAGTCTCAAACTTTTTTTTTTTATAAAAGCTAATGAGCCTATTATTTTGTGAAATTTCTTTTTCATGTGTCCATATTTTCCCCATACACAGTATTACGACGAAACATTCCCCACTGTTAAAGAACAGAAGGCATTTGAAAAGAATCTATTTAATAAGACACACAGAGCAAATGGTATTTAATTTTAATTGTAAAATTTTGTTACTTAATTTTTATGTCATTACTTTTATAAAATGTTTTTCAACGATATTAACTTTTACAAGAGTTTTCACAACTTTTGGAGTTGGATATCTGTTTGTGGAAAATAGATATTTGTCATTCAGTACATTATAAATCATTTGGGTTATTTTTATTAACTCTTTCTTTGACTAACTGCGTATTTAAAATTTAAATTCTGCTTGATTTCTTTGTACCTCTTCTTTTTTTTCAGCGGAAATTATTATGTTCGAAGGTCTGACCTGCGTTTATAAAAGTAATGTCGATCTCTTTTTTTATGTTGTTGGCTCTTCAATGGAAAATGAGGTATGTGCATTAAAATATTATTATTTTTTAAAAATTGTTTTAGAAGTGGTACAGTCAAAAACATCAGCAATTAAGAATTTTGAGAATACGTTTTAATTCTCCAGTGAAAAAGAACTGTTTTAGTTTATCCTGCTAATACTTTTCAAATATGAAAATAAAGTTTCTTTTATTCCTCATAAGCTCATTCTCGCCAATGTATTGAATGCCTTCTATGACTCCATAAGCCAAATACTGAGGAAAAATGTGGAGAAGAGGGCTCTGTTAGACAACTTAGATGCAGTGTTCTTGGCAGTAGATGAACTGTGTGATGGAGGGTATGCTGTATTTTATTATCACAGTACTTAAATGAACTAGGATATACAGACTTTTTACATCCTGACATATTTGTATCGAAACAATGTTTTTTTCAGTTTTTTAGACTTGTGCAGTTGAAACAGTTCCACTTCAAAGTAAAACTCAGTATTTGCTAAATGTATTCTAAAGTCTAACCAGGTTCTCATAAATTTAAATACAATAAAATGTGAAATTGGGTTAAAACAGTCCTTCACTTCGTATCAAACCATAATCCCGCAACCCTCATGGAAAGGTAATGCAAAACTAAGACATGTATTTGCCAGATGAGTCAGATTTTCTTGCATGGCCTCGTGTAACTGTTAGTTTTAAATTGGTCCGAGCAACTTTTTAAAATCTTAATTATAAGTTCTTTGATGTAATTTTCCATCTATGTTTGCTTCTCTCCAACCCTAGGATTGTCTTGGAAGCTGACAGCAACTCTATTGTTCAAAAAGTGGCAATTAGAAATGAAGATATTCCTCTTGGTGAACAGACAATGGCCCAGGTAAAGAAATATGATATTAGTATTGATTCCTGTAATGTAAATCCCCTACATGAGTGATTCTCAAAATTTGTTTACTCAAACCCTCACTTTTGGTATTCTTCTAAACCCTTTTTATTACCAGTCAGCCTTTGTTGCAGTGTCAAAGACTTCCGTTAAAAACAGATTCATAACAGAATCCCTTGTCTTGACACTGCAAGAGCCTAAGTAGTGGGCAGCGTTTAGGTAATACAGATGAAAATGGCTGTGTGCGGTGTCTAGAACTTTTCAATGGTATGGTGTCATGTTTTCCCAGTCATTAGCTTCTGCCCGTCATCTTTATTTTTACTCTAATGTCTCTGGAAATTCATTTGGCACTCTATTGTATGTGCGGAAAGCAGAACTATCTATGTTGGATCTCAAGCTTCTCTCTGCAGACATATAAAGATAGTCAATTATTTAAAGTGATATGCAAGTGTCACTCTTTCCGCAAACACTTTAAGTTGTTTCAAAGCTAAACTTGTATTTGGGTCATTTTGGTTTCAGCATTTAATATTTTTCCTTTGGGAAAAATAGTTAAAATGTTGCTTTTGCTAATCAAAAAGATGGCCCAGTGGTCATCTCAAATTTATGTGATGACCAATCAATAACACTCATTTCAAAATGAACTATAAGATCTGTTGTAAAAATGTTAATATTTAAACCGCTTGAAGTCTGTGATTTTTATAAATATTTTGTCCTTGAAATTGGCAAAGCATTAAATCAGCACTTTCTTTTTTTAAAAAATTATGTACGTTATAATTTCAATATGGTCGTGTATCTAAATTTTCTAATTACTTTGTTTTCCCCGCATCATAATTCATGCTGTTAAAAAAAATTTTGATTTTAAAAAATTATAAATAGGTTGAAAAGACTATCCTACTCATTATGTTTGATTCAATAAAGTTAAAAAACATCTCTAAAAGAATCATGCTTTCATTAAAAAAATTATAATTTTTTTGTGAGTCTTAATAGCAACATACCAAAGAGTATTTTTTTATTTAGTTGTAAATCATTGCCTCTAACTGATTAGTCTCGGTTTTAAACTTTGCTATACAATCTCAATTTCTTAAGATAACCGCCAAATACAGCCAGCAGGTTTCAGCTGCCACTGATAGGGTAATGTATGAGAACCTCTGGCAACATTATCCAGCTCTGGGATCATATTTCTCATTAGTTGGCTTTTTGTTCAGTGAGAGATGTAACGGTCTTAGTGGAGCACCCTCCAATTTTTTGTATTGTGTCGGAGATAAATTTAAATTAGCAGGATGTCGATTCAGACTTAGCTGCAAAACTTGACCATTGTTTCTCAAGCTGATGGGTTCTCTACAAGGTTTTACAATTGTTTTTCTCTTTTGTTCAGCTTTCATGGGTGTAAAAGTTATAATGGACTTGACCTGATCTCACAGGAATGTTATTTCACACTCGCCTTTCTTCAAACCTCCACTTTTTTATGCAAATGAATAAAAAGAAAGAAAAAATAGTTAATGAATACTTTTCATCAGCTTAGGACTCTGAAAACTAATCTAATACAGATAAACAGTTTGATTTGAAAAATTATCTATTTCAGATAAACAGTTTGATTGTTGAATAAAATATTGGTCAGCTCATTAATATTAGTTTATATTAAAGTGTTAGATCGCTTGCTTTCCAAAGAAATTACATTTTTCCCTTGTTAGCAAATATATAAACACAGGGCCATGCTAATTTTGAAAATACTTGTAGTTATAAATTTGCAACCTTTTCACTCATACCAGAAGAAGCTAACTTCTAGGGTTACAGGTAGTGTGTAAAGGCAAAAGCAGAGGATGTTAAGTAAATTTTCTGTTATTTTGTGTTAGCAACTAACAAAGAAGTTTGAGGTGAGTAGATTATAGGCATTCCCTCCCATACCCCACCCTTTCAGTTGATCACTATTTTTGTTCATTTCAGTTTACTATTGCATTTTACAATGATTGGTCAAATTGGTGGCTCATAAATGTTTGGTTTGTCTTGTGACCTCTGATTGGTATCATTTGACTCATTGTGTCAGTTGTCCAAGCATTTATTCCAATGGTGTTATTTAAAGTCTGATTTTGAGTACTGTAAACCTTACTGTGCCAATTTCCATCCCACAACTCTTGTCAACTTTACATAGGATTTAAACATGAGAATTAAATATGACATCATAAAATACAGTAAAGAATTTTTGGGTCACCCATTACCATTTTTTTTTCTTGATCCACCATCAAACAATTGTAGCATGCTTTAGGGAGGGCAGAGTTTTTGTTTTAACACCAAGCCGTTTGAAGATCTGGTTGTCTCAATTGTGCCTGTATACCATCTATATCTGATGGCCGTCATTTTCTCATGTATGGTACATATTGTGTTGGTGATGCATTTATTTGGTTTATTATGTCCTGCTCCATGTAATGTTTTTCCTTACAAATTTATGCTGGCTGTCTTAAATATTTTCATTTTTCTCAGATCATATGTCCAATGCCTACATTTTATTTCAAGTGTTAATGTTTTCTCCTTATTATTTCTCCAATATCAGGCTGACGTCAGGATACCAGACGTTAGAAATAATCATTAGAGTTTTTCTATCATATTAGGCTTGCAAGGAGTAAATGGAAAATCATTGAATTTACCTAAAACTAAAACTAAAATGAATCACTTGTTTCAGTATTCAAAAATCAAGTCTTGGCAGTTTAGTATAGGAATAGACTTGAAGTTGCTTTATTTTTAATGTGCACCACAAATCTAAGCAAATCAATGAAGTCAACAAAACAACCCTACCTTGGCTCAGTGGCTTCAAATATATTTTTGTTTTTCAATAGCTCTTGGTCATAGCAAGCTGTTATTTGCTTTAAATGTTTTATTCAGTGCCTATCAGACAAGGATTTTTTAGCTTCATTGGTTTTTTAACATTTATATCCTTGACATATGTCCCATTGTTTCCTGTTATGGCATAACTTGATTAGTGCATGTAAGAAGAATTACATTAACCTTATAAAACATGTGCTTAGATATTAAAAGGTTGATCTAATTTTAGTTAATTACATATTGTTTAACTGCATTTGTAAATTTTGCTGAACTTGATGTCATCTGTTGCCCAGACTGCAGCCATACACATCTTTTTTTAAATCCTTTCTATTAACTTCGCTTTTGTTCATGTGTTCTGGCTGGCAAAATCTTTGGACAGCTAAATGACCCATTTCCACAATAGACTCATGGCCAATAACAACACATTCTTTCAAATTTTCAAGGGGAAGATGATGACACTGATTTCACGAAATAAAATTCCAGATAACTGCTCTAAATAAGATTTTAAAAAAAAAAAAATTTGCAAGTGCGTTATATTTTCTTTTGGTTTTCTGAAATGGTGAAATAAATCTGTGGTGTAAAAGCATGTGGGTCATTGGAATATTAATATAGTTAAGGGGTGTGAAAAAATTGTGCGTTTGCAAGCCTTGGGGAAAATAGGGGGGGGGCACTAATTGGGATTCTTATAAAGTGCGGCATTACTTGTATGCACGTTTTGTCAAATTTTCAGCATCACACCCCCCCCCCCCCCCATTGCTCAATATTACATTTTATAAAAGATTTATTTGAAAAACTTTGTTTTTAGGTGTTGTCTAAGTACTGACTGACATGAAGTCGATGTAATGATTTGGAAGGTGCATTCACTCTTATCATGTATCTTTCTGAAATCCCATTGTGGTATATGTTCCATTTAGTTATCAGGATGTGAATTTCTGTTAACATGTGTTTTTTTTTCTTTTAATCTTGCAGGTTCTCCAATCAGCCAAGGATCAAATAAAGTGGTCATTGTTAAAGTGACCTTTGGGTGGCTCTGCACTTTATTGTATTTAATTATTGGTATATGAAGTTGGTTTCATTTCATTTTGGGCTGTCAGAATGAATATATTTGATGTATTTCCCAACCCCACAATCTTTTGTTGTCATATTTTGCTGTGAAAGTGTGGGGGACACGTATGATGAGGAATGAGTTGGTGAATCTGTGATGTGTGATTGTAATGAAAGTTGAGTACAAGATCTGGCCAGTTGTTGTAGCAGATGTTTAAGTTAGATCACCCAAGAGAAAAATTAACCGCATTAAAAAAGTTACTATGATATAAAGTTGCATTATGTCAAATATGCATTTTTAAAATGCTAAAGAAAATGTTTCTTTCCTAATATAGGTTATTTTTTTTTTTTTTAGAGCTTTAAAATAACCATTTTGAAATGTTAAATCATATTTGAGCTTAACACGGATTGACACTATTTGGATCTATTTAAAGAGATTTTATTTATGAATGTGTAAGAATGGAAATTTGATTGAAAGATTAATAAACTTCTTATCTTCAATTATGAACAAAATCAAGGCTTTGAATTTTTATTTATGTAATTTTAACTGTAGGTGAGTGACTGGGTGTATTTTAAATTGTTTAAATTTTTTTATTTAGAAAAAAGAAAAAAAAAGTTCTTGTAACTTTGGTAAAGATTAACACACCAATAGCTGATATCATTACAGACAAAGGCAACAAAGATATTTTAATTTGTATTGACAAGAGTTATGAGGCCATCTGAGAGCCCTTTGACTTTATAATTTACACCCACAATTATATAAAGTATATAACATAAAATTCCGCTCCATAATGTGTCATAATTTGATACTGGAAAGGGAGCCCTACAAAATCATATTCAAGGTAACCTTAAAAAACTGAAAATTGGTTGAAGGAATGGTCCATAAAGAGCAACAGTTATCACTTAAAGTTTTCACCCTTTAAATTTAAAAGTTGTATCATTAGTCATTTTCCAAATGGTGTAGGTATTGTCTTTGATTATTAATATTTGGCCCCAAGCTCTGTTGCCGATGCCACAGTTATCTTGTTATAATATTTACTGCAGATGGGTTGTACGCAATCACTCCAATATTATCCTTAATCTTTTAACGTAGTGCCTTACCTAAATCCTGTTGATACATATTGAAGGTTATTATTTTAATAAAATTTTAGAATGGCCAAGCTGGAGAGTACGGTCAATTAGTTACCATTTAATTTTTTTACACTCTATAAATCTTAAATCCATCATAAACATTAATGTTTTTAAATTGGTTGAGTGGTCCCGGTTTGGAAAAGTCCATAAGATGCCATTAATTTAATCCATTTAATTTATAATGTAAATTTTTGCCATCTTCAGTTCCTTGTTATTAATGTTTAGGTAATCTTTAAAAGCTGCTAATCCTTCCATGAGGTGCCAAAGTTATAGCTCAAAAGGGGGCTCCAATAAAAACAAATATTAAGGGTAACGCTAAAAATAGTAAATAGGTTGAGAGACCCTGTAAAAGGCTGGTTGCGTGAGGTGTCAAAGTGGTAACTTTAAAGTGGGGGGGGGGTCTTTTCATAAATATCCTAGGGTAACATTTAAAGTTGTACATCGGTTTAGGGGCCCTAGTGTTAAAAGAAAAGTTACAATAGTACTTTGGGGCCCCAGTGTTAAAAGTTACAATAATTCTTTAGGGCCCCAGTTGGTTAACGGGAGTTATGAACAAAATTGACCTTATCCTATTCCTTTTCTAGGATAATATAATATAAATTAAATTGAGGTGAAAATTTTCAGCTCTCTAGGTCCAGTAGTTTAAACATCTGTAACCATCAAACCCACATTTAAGCTTGATATCTATAGATATTGAGAGAGAGAAGAAAAAAACATCATCTGATCATTAAAGAACACACCAAAAGACTTTAATTTTACCTCTGCTTTTATTGATGTGAAGACCAAAAATGTTCACTTCAACATTTGGGAATATACATATATTGCTAGGTAATCAACTACCCATGTGATAGATTAATGATTTTAATCATTGACAATATGGATATTTTTATAGAGCACTATTCTCATCAACATGTACCAATGCTTACTATATGATTCTGATCACTACTTTAAATTTATTAAGGACCAGTATAATTATAATTCAAAGTTTCAAAACACTTTTTTTTTAAAAAGCCAAAATGATGACCAATAATAATGGTGACTAATAATGCTAACAGTAACAGTTGTGAAACAAAAACAAGATGTCTCCAGCCAGTAGCCGCTGACTTTCCTATGTGAGATCAAGTAACACAACAATATGAATACAACTACTTTTAAAGTTATGTGCCAGATGACAGCATCAAGTTCAAAACCACATAGCTTTAAAAAAAAAAAAAAAAAAAAAAAAAAAAAAAATTTTTTTTTTAAGTAACACAACAATATGAATACAACTACTTTTAAAGTTATGTGCCAAATGACAGCATAAAGTTCAAAACCACATAGCTTTAAAAAAAAAAAAAAAAAAGAGCTAACAGATATGTTTGTTTATACACAACAAAATTAGCAAACAATATTCCATTTGAAGTGTAATATATTTTTATATGTACCAGTATGTCTCAAAAAACTTAACTTCATACCCAGTAATTTAATTAACATATCCAAAAGGTTTTAATCTGGTTTTTTCTTGGTCATCAAGTCCAGATAAGCAAATACACTGAAGCAGCAAACAATATGATTTGTCTACTTATTGTACTACAACTTACAATCTAGGCAAAACATATTCAAATTAATTTTAAGGGAAAGGTAATTATGATATAGCCTATATATATATATATATATATATATATATATATATATTTTTTTTTTTTTTAAAATATCTTAGCCATTTGCAACACAATATCTCGTGGATGGTGAATAAAACTCTTAAATAACATGTTTAGGAATTCAATAAGATTACAATTACTTTGTAGCTCATCAGGGGAAAAGCACAACTTTCTGATAGCATTTGTCACCAAGTCTGTGATTGGTGTGTGCAAACTTTTCAGGCAAGAGCTTGAAAGATGTATAGTCTTTGGCATATGGACATGATTAGGCCCAGTTCTTCTTGGCTAACGGTATATAATAAGTATATGTATATTTAACAGGGCCTGCTCCATGTGAAACTGACAGGTGAGGTATAGAAACATTAAATTATTATTGGAAGTTAATTTACCCCAAGGTATGAGTTTCGAAAATTAAAACTGGATTTTTACAGCGGCACACATTCCAGGAACTGGATTTAAGTATTTGTAAAAATTATGAATGATTATCTTTCAAATGATTGAAAATTAGTGATAACTTTGTAAAATTGTCAACCTGTAACAATAATAAGCGCGGGAAATTTAAAAAATCATTTCACTGGTTGCTGTGGATAAGAACTCTGAGTGCATTATTGATGTCCATCTTCAAAAATATATTAAAATCACCCCCTTTATTCTTTTAAAAATCTTGACGAGCCAACAAAGCCAAGCATTCTACAAGTTAAAAATATAACAATTATTAAAAATATACAACTATAGATTTCTAGAAAAGTATGGCAAACAGATTAATTTCCATGCAGCCCTCTGTACAAAAACAGGCTCCATCTGCCCACCCCTGCTGAGTAAAATAAATTATTTATTCATAAATGAAAATGTGCTACTGTGTCATTAGTGTAGCTAATGTTTGTCATGATTTTTGGAGACAGAGACAACAGATTCTCACCGGATTCAATTGTCATCACAAGATGGGGGGAAAAAAAAGGTTAAATTTTCTGGTCTCCAAATAAAATGCAAAGGAAAAAAAACACCAGTAAAACAAAAAAACAATATAATAAAATGATATCGACAAATTAAAATAATCTCTGATAAAAATGGCTGTGAGTTAATAAGAATTTTATGGCAACTGATGTCGTTAATGGGTGGTTTCCCATCATGCATTTAAATATAAACAAATATGCCAAATTATAACAATCAGTCATCTATTAATATTAATAAACATATTTGAAAAATTGTTCTCATTGTGGCATGGCAAAAAAAATATAGATCTTGACACCTTAGTCCTGTATCTGATGTCGGTGCCTCAGCTCTGTATAAAATTATACATATCTCTTAAGAATCTCAAAAAAACAAATGAGTAAAATTGTCTTGATAACCAGAAATGTTTATAGCAAGAATCAAGAGGAAATTTTGTACAAAGACTGAAAGTATCTGTTTGAAATTTTGACTACTCATGATGGCATCAACTACATAATAGTAACAATTACATCAACAATTATTTGAACTTTGAGCTGTGTTATTCAAAAAGCTTCCTTGAGTGCCCATATTTTTATTTTTTCATACTAGCCCAAAGCCATATGTCTTATTTTAATGATTTTTGTTTTTTTTAAAATGTTTCTTTCACTCTAATTCACAATGTTAATTCACTTCTTTTTGTCTGATGACGAAAGCATTTTGCAGAGATATATATGGATTTATTTTGTCAATAAACTACCTTCATCTTACTTCTAAGCATTCTGAGGCGTGAACATTTCAAGCTTCAAAGCAGTCCAACCACCTTCATATTTCTTGAAATACAAAACTCCCATCAACAACATTTACTTTTTTTTCATTATTTCCATTAAAAATATTTCTTAATCATAACGCATATAGTCATATAGTTTAAAATATGTTTCATTTCTGCAACATTTATCGCACATGATTATTCAATATTTAAGAATTAGATCGATTTCAAATATTTTTTTTTTAAAAGTTGTTTTTTTTAACAAACTTATAAACTTCCATTTTTTTATTTTAAAAACTATTAATAGTATTAGTAAGCACATCACTAATGTTTCTAATAAAATTGTATCTTTTATATAAGATTTGAAATAACCCACCAAGCAAATGGTGGCGACAGTGCTTGAAATGCCCATCTGCTCAAGTTACTAGATAAAACATGCATTTAAGTAGCGCACTTTGTAAGAACACCAATTAGTGCTAACTCCTGGGAATTTTGTTTTGCATTCCTATGGAACACAGCATTACAGCCATACATACTCAAATACCTAGAGAACTATTATGTGGGATTCTTCTTCTTTTTTTTTTTTTTTAATTTAAAAAATTAAAAAATTTTGATATGCAAGGTTGTATAAAAAAAAAAAAAAAGAACACCAATTTATTAATATTTAATACTAGAAAAGATGGCGGATGTATCAACCATGAGAAATCTGCATTTTTTTTTCTTCCTTAATTACGACAGCAATGTGTTAATACTAGAAAAGATGGCTGTCATAGTTCTTGCCATTTCTCCTATTTCAGCACTGTCCCCTCAGTAGTATACATGCTATATGGATGATTCTTAAATCATTATCAATACAAAAATCATTGGAATGTATAATTTTCTACTATTTTTCCAAATAAAAATAACTTCTTGAATAAGGACAACAAAAATTAGTTTCCTTTAAAAGTTAAGACCACTGACCTAAACTAAGCCTCCTTTTTGTTTTCCCCTGAAAAATGTTGATCTGCCGATAGGATCAATAGCAAACAGACTAACAGTCTTTTAAATTCTATTCACCACCTTTTCCATTGCTACTGTGTAGTTTACAGTCCAAACCTTTAGGTAGCCGTGACAGCAACCATAAGAAAGAGCATGTTAAAAAAAATAATGCTGTTTTAAAAAAAAGAACTAATAAGTAATAATCTTCTGCTATAATTATCAACTCTACTAAAAATGTATTTTTAACTTAAGGTTAAGACCACCAACTTGGTCAACAAATGACAAACACCTTTCAGTTTTGAAGTAACAGTGTACAGAAGGACATGGGGGGAGCAGTTCATCCCATTCAATGCTTATCTGGCCAAACAGTTATTTTAAGACTATCAGCATTATCAGTTGCAGTACAGCATAATGTAGCAGGAGAATTTACGATTTACAGATTTTTGTGTGGAATGGTTTTTTTCCCGTAGCAAGAACAGGGGTTATGGGATAATAACAGTTTTTTTATCAAAACTTAGTTTTGACTCATCTACCCTGTATGATGATCTCTACAACATGATCAAGAATATTCAGCTCAATCAAACTTGTTTTTTTATTTTTTTATTTTCCAGACAGTCAGTGATGACATTATAAGGAAGTCATCTGCCTTCTTTGATAGCAGTAGAATTCCAGGACTGTGTTTCTGGTTGCCTCCAGAGCAAGCTAATGAAGCACTCAGATTGCTTTGACTGCCCATTGTAGATGTTAATATCACATAACAATCAATAAATAAAACAATACTTTTTACTGTGTGGAAATAAACAGTGTACCAGTTATCAAGAAACAAATTTTGTTAGAGAGAGTTCCTGCTCCTCGCCCATTGGTGAGAAATAATAGTCTATTCTTTCTTGGGAGACTTCTTCTAAGGTAGCTGGTTCCCACCGTGGAGACTGGTCTTTGTCCAGAATGGCTGAAAGAAAATAAAAGATAATAATTGATAGACTGCATTCAAGTTGTGTAAAAGAAAATAAATATGGCAATTCTATATATATATATAGTTCCAGTAATTAGCTTATTTTCAATTTGTTAAACCAAAATAATGCTATAGCCAATGATGTCCAAAATCAGTAAAATTGTATTATTTTGTCATCTATCTAAAATTTTCTTAGTATATTGCTCATAAAAAAATTTTTCCATGAAATATTTATGTATGGTGAATGAGGTTAATTAACAACAGAATACTGTTTTTATCTTTTTTTAATTCAATATTATAAAAGGATTTTTTTAAAAATCATTTACAAGAAATTTTTGATTAACCTCTAAATAACAGATGATGTTCAATAAATATTAGATTTAGAGCTTCCAAATAGTTTTGCATGTACAATTTTTTCATATACTGTAAAAATAATTTTTTGAAACCTATTTGTGTGGCAGAACTTTTTTCTCTCATTCTTCTTTTTTCTTACATATTGCAATTTAATTATGGCCTTTTTAATGATATGTGATAACATAAGGCTGTATCATAAATATCTCACTTTGAATTTTGCCTGACGTTGACTTGTTCACCCTCCCCGAACTACTCTATATTAATATGTTCTTCTCTAACTGCAGCTCCATCCTACCTGCTCTGATCCCTTCATGAAAATCCTTGTCCGCTACACACCTCTGCGTCAGCCTGTACTCTGTACAGAGAGTCTCAGCCAAAGTCTTTTTCAATCCTTCTTTCAATAAACGGAATGTAATTTTTAGAGAAGTTGGACTCTGAAGAGTGATGATAGATTAATTTATCCCGTCGTGAAGATTATATCACATTCTAATCAAGGCTTCACATATTATGTCATTAAAAAACAACCTTAACAAAACTAATAATTAAAACTTGAAATATTTGATTTGTGAAAATCAATTGAATTGGAAAAAACAAAATTAAGTCAATTAAACACATCTCATTTCAAGCTATTTGATTTTTTTTCATTTGGCTTAACTTGTCATCATTGACAGTCAGGTCTCACAGCTTACTTTTTACACTGGTTGAGGGGTGGGTTGGAGACAAGTGGAGGGGGGATATTTACTGAGACATTTCATTTTTACTTTTCAGAGCAGGGGTTCTTGGTATTTCCTTTGTAATTTTAGTATATGTATCTAAATATGTCATTACAACAAGGCTCCATGGCCTTCATCTGACTGGCAAAATGAGGTCTATGGACTAAAAGTGTTAAAACCTTGTTTTAAAGCAACAATGTGCAACTTAAGGGGTTTTTTGGTCAACATAAGTATAGGATTTTCTTTTTAATAACCCTGCCCCCCAACCCCCAATCTTAAAATCAAAATTATATAACATGAGCCCCCCTCCCCCTTTTTAATGGGGACAAAAGCACACCTCCCCTTCAAATTAATTAAGTCTTAACTACTGTTATAGTTAGACATATAAATTAAGGCAATCAAAAAAAAAAAAACTCTATTTATTTTAACAAACCAATATTTATATTTATATACAGGGATTTAGCTAAAGTTCTCATACCATTTTTTTAATGTGCTCCAGTTGCTTGAGGGCCCACTCTGAACCATCCAGTCGCAGGCTCTCCACTATCTCCTCGACTGATCCCCCACTGAAGCACTTGCTGATTTGTTCTTTGTGTTGCTCCAGTGAAAATCTCTCTGTGAAATTGGTGTCACTCTGTACAGAGTCAAGGAACAGTTAATCACTGAACCATAAGTAGTGAATACAACACTGAGATGACTTACAGCTTGCGATTCAATAAAAATAATGTGAGCTGAAAATACTGTGGCAGTGCTGTGTTTTTATCAGGTCAGATTTTTAAGTGGACTTCCTTTCCAGGATCAGCCTGGTAAACCACTCGAGAAAAAGCCAAACATATATAAGCTACACCTTCACAAAGACAGAAATATGCAAAGAATATAAGGCTAAGGGGCATCCATATAGTTTTTGGAGATTTTGGGTATGTATGCATATTGGGNGGGGGGGGGGGGGGGGGGGGGGGGGGGGGGGGGAGGTCTCTGCAGAAAATATTTACATTTATTCACAAATACTGCAATAATTTTTCCTTGGAAATGAGCGAAACAAAGCATAGGAAAACCTGATAAATAGAACGCAACAAAACAACAAAAGAAGTCTTCATCATCAAACAAACAACAGTTATAACAGAATTAAATACAAATAAAACTTAGTTGAAATGGAGTATCTTCCTGTCCCCTTGGATACTACATTTCATCTAAATGTTATTTTTATGCAAATAGGCTTTTTTTTTTCTAGATTTTAAATTAATAAGACTATTTTAAATAAATTTGACTTTATTTTAAAGTAATGTGACTTTCTATTGATTCTGATTTTAAAGTTAATTAATAGCACTACTGTAGTAGCTTACTTTTCTTTGAAATTCATTGAGTACATTGTTGACCTCTTCGGCTGTGACTGGATGGGAAAGGTTTTCTAAGTTTTTCTCTAACAATGTTATCTGAAACAAGTAGAATTTTCACTTCAATAATATATAACTTAAGATGCAAGAGAAACGAAAATACTTCCTTATATTTCAGGGGGATAAGAACTGTTGGAGCAGAAGCATTGTGTCGAGTATGAGCGTTCATTAGTAATTGTTGCGACTCAATATTATGTTCATTAGTTGTTGAACGCTTTTCCCGCGCTTGACTATTATGGTTAGTGAACGCTCTTCTCGCCATTGTCTCTATGACATATTTTTATGCTGATTCGTGACGTATTGTCTATGCAGTATTGTGACGTATGTTTTAGTCGTGCGGCAGTCTTGAGTGGATCTTTGGAGTGATAGGATGTGTATTATTTAGGTCAGATAGCGAGCTGCGCTATATTCAAGTGTTATGTGTATTATATTTACTTATACATTAAAGTTATAGTTATTATGAAAAGGAGTTGAGTTTGTTCGATGATAGTGAGAATAGTATGACGCTTCAACGTGTGAAAAGAACTTGACGAATGTAATCAAATCCAAGAAGACTGTATAGGAGTTGACACATTGATGAATGCTGTGTTCACATTACAATAACACAAAGCAAAGAAAAAAAAACAAGTGCCATTTTAGCTGATCAATTCAATAATCAGGTAAATTTCATATGATAATAGAATAATATACCAGACAACCTCATGCAGATGCCAAGTTAGTATTTAAAATTTATAACTGGATTTATACGTTAATTTATTCCTTAAATAAACATACTTGATTGTAATCTATGTAGTGGGAAGCAAGTCCTACATGTTGGATGTCCCGACCTTTTAACCTATGACCAGTCATTCCAAGAAACAGTCCTATGTTGCCAGGTAACCGAGACAGATAATAGCCAGAACCAACATCGGGGAACAAACCTATAATCATTAAAAAATATTAAACATGCTATAGACAATACTACTGAACTCATTACATTAAAAAAAAAAAAAAAAAACGAAATTTGAAATATCCTGATTATCAGCTTCAATTAACTTTACATATGAAAGATGAAAAGCTGAAAAGATGAAATTTATTTTAAAATACTCTCAGCCTGTAACTCCAAGCCATCTATGTGCTAAAAATAGAAATCTTCGGCAGAATAAAGAAGTACAACATAACACATTGGCTAACCTATTGCACATTCTGGCATGCTGAAAACACTTCTCTCAGTGGACACACAGAAACGTCCTATCACACTCAAGCCAGCAGCCTGGGGAAAAACCAGCAACAAAAGTATAGTACCACTGAAATGGCACAAGTTTAAAACAAATCAAAGGCGATTTTGTTTTTATTAGAATTATTAAAAAATATTTCAAAATCTAAAACTAATTTATAATGGCTTCCTTGAATAAGTGAAATATGTAATTTTTAAATCGCACTATAAATGAGTATAGTTGACAATAAGGTTACACTAAGCTAAAGCTACAGTTCATGACTAACCCCTCCAAAAGTGATGCCATTCAGTATTGAGATGAGAGGCTTTGGGTACGTTCCTTAAATAAGAGAAATACAAATGTGCAGCTTGAATGTTAAATTCTTGGACTTTTCTCTAAACAATAAAAAATCTAGCAGTTTGTGTTAAAAGACTGGAAGATGTATCTTTAAACAAATCAGTTAACCAGATCTAAAAATCTTAATCAAATCAGTTAACCAGATCTAAAAATCTTAAATCAGTTAACCAGATCTAAAAAGCTAAACACTAATTTTCTAATAAAATGTGATAACAGGATGCAAATCGTAAATTCCATTTGTTTAATCCTTGAAATCTTGAACTGTATGTCAATTCATTCTATTCAATAAGAAAGTCTAGTACATGAAATTTTCAACACCAAAAAAAAAATCTCAACATTTTCACACAAACGATAAAATATTTTACATAATCCTACCTATAATGTAGTTTAGTGTAAATTCTTCCTTAAAGAACTGCTGGCCATAGTTGCCACCTTCTCTAGCAGAGAAAGTAATTGCTGCAATGAAAATGAACAGCTAATTTACATCATGCTTAACACAAATAAGCAAGTTGAGAAATTAATTAAACTTTTTTTTTTTTAATGTAAATACTTTAAACATTTTAAATGACAAAACAAAATGAACAGACTTATGATAAAATGTTAAAAATGATCTCTTAAAAAATACATTAAAAAATACATGAAAACAAAAAAATGGTTATTGGTATATTAGTGACTTGAGGATTGAAACATGTCAAGGATTAGAGGATGGAAATAAGGATGTTGTTGTTTTTTTCTATCACCCTCTTGCAAATATATAATCCTGCTATTATAGTAAGAGGAAAATTTTGAATTCATGCACAGCAAATAGAAATATATGGTTTGGCAAGACATAGAGATGATTCCTGTATCAGACTTGGCATGTTCCTTCCGGTATACCCACTCTAGAATTACCCCATTGACCCAGTGACAGACTACAAACGGATCCTCTCTCCCTACCACCCATGGTTAGTCAATTGACTCACATTTTAAGTCACCACCAGCACAAAATGCTTTTTCTCCAGCACCTTTCAAAGTTATCACAGAAGTCTGAGGATCATTTCTCCAAATCTGGGGAAAAAAAAAAGAGAAAAAAACTTTTTTATTTTTCTACTTGAAAAAATAAAAATTTTTAAAATGAATTAACATGATGATCCGAAGAAAAAAAAAACATGCACTTCAATAAATCCAAATACCATGAGCTTGGCTGTTAAATCTCTGACCATGGACAGGTTGATGGCATTTAGCGTTTGAGGGCGGTTTAAGGTCACATGTTGCACGTGACTATGTTTTTCCACCAATACATCGCACTCTACCAGGGGCAATCTCTCCGTCATAATCTGCAGCTGGCGTGACAGTCTGAAGAAACAAAGACCAGTAAACGAGAATGTAATGGTTAACACAATATCTTTTTTAAATTGGAAACTGAAATAACTAGATTTTGACAAAAAACATTATTATGTATATGCTTCAACAATTCCCTCATTTTTCAACTTAATTTGCACATAGTTATTCTGTTAAAATTTGTAAATAGCTTAAAACCTTCTAAGGATTAAGAAAAAATCTTTTCCCCCACAAGTCACTGTAATATCTATGAATTGAACTATAAAGCTTATGTGTTTAGCCTAACCACAAGTAAAAAATTAAAGGAGATTTAACTAATACAATCAGATCAATTAAAATGTCTCCACAGCAAAAATATATCTAATGCTAAATTAAAACTTAATTGGCCAAGTTTAACATCATAAATTAAAAATGATGCTTTAATAAATAAGAAGTGTTATTTGATTCTAGAAAACATGATCTGATGTCACATCGGTAATAATGATAGGCCTATTGCACTACTTTCTCCCTGTTATGACAAATTCTTAACATCTGGAAAACTGATTTGGGGTGGGAGGATGAGTTCAGTAGGTAACTATGGCTGTCTGTAGGCTTGTAGTAGGCAGATGTGAATAAATATGATAATATTGTAATATCCAGAAAGTTGAATGAATGCCCAGAGATTTGGGAAGTAAATTTTATGATTTTGGACATAAAGTAGATGACCAGCAGTTTTTCTTTGTATGTTTCACTATTCTCTTTATGTGTTCCATATCGCAGGAGTAGTCGGAATTTTTAATGTGTCAATGTCATTTCGCCTACGGGATTTCATCTCCAGGTTTGATTTCAGAGTTTGCCTTCTCTTAGATGAGTTGCCATCCAAGACAAGAAACTTCTTACATATTAAAGACTAAAAATAACCCATGGAAAAATTCAGAAACAGAGGGCTCCCCCTCCCCCTCCTGCCCAGACCACTCCCCTAATTTCATTCAGGAGCCTTCAGCACCCTCGACTTCTGCTTCCCTAGCCCCCACCCCACCCCCCACCACCCTGATAATGAATGTCAATCCGAATCACTTTCCGAATGTTTGCAACACTCAGTATATCAAAGTTTCTGTTTATATGCAATAATTTAAACCAGCCTTCACAAACTCAAGAAATTTTTAAAAAATTTTTTTCCTGTACCGGCCTTTTGGTGACATTCTGGACAGCACAATTTCTATTTACATTAAAAAATTCATAGAAAAGGTTGTTGACCTTACCAGCCTCAACACTTGTTTTACTAACACTCTCAGTGATAACAAAATACGCCAACTTCCATTTTCTTAATGTTTGCACTAATTTTGTGTTCCCCCTGGCGACATTTAGTGTTGTTTACTTAGACTTAATGTAAGCACTTGTGATGCGAAAAGCTGGTTTTCCCGCTGGAGCTGAGTGTTCCAGATAGCCAGAAAGAAGAACATGTCTGGGCTTTTCTTATATATATTACATATATTTTCTAATAACTATAAGCAGATTTATTTTATCAGATTTAAATTGATCAGATTTACATAAAATAAACAAAATTCACCATCATATTTTTAAAGATTCCCATTAATTTTTAGAATTAAGAAGTTTAACTCACATGAATATTGGATAAAAATTTGCACATCGTTGTGTATACAATAAGGGAATTTTAATTTTCCCACTATTGAACAGAGCATAACACAATGACACTGGCATCTTCTTATTAATGTTTATTGATAAGCTTATATTTTATTGTACTTTTTTCAAAGTTAGTTTTAAAATATGGTTAAAAGTCAATTGAGTATTAATGAGAAGTAACTACAATTTATAACAGGTTCTACTACAGTTTAAACGTGTAAACAAAAATCAGTAACTGCTAAAATATGCAATTCTAAAATGTTACTGACTGCTTGACAAACAATTTTGATTTGACATTAGCTCGGCTGGCTGCTGGTGCTTTTTTAGTGTAAAATAAAAGTAAAGTTGAAAACTTCAATTTAAATGTAGTAATCTCTGACTCGGATATTATGCAATTAAATTACAAGTTTTAACTAAGAATATTTTGTTTTCCAGCAAAACTTAAAATATCCTTCAATGAGAGCAATCAGGAAAAAATATTAGACAATTTTCTTGTAAAAGGCTTAAGTAGGTCTGTAGCTAGCAAAAAGTAAAAAGCAATGGAGATGAGCATTTATTAGATCCTGTTTAGATATTGTGATAATTTTTTTTTTTTAAATCAGGAATTTCCAGGGATGATTATAATGTGATGATTTAGATACATCCTGTTTCTTTTAAATGAACTTTTGAAATTACCACAGATTTTTTGTAAAAAAAAAATTGATTCATTAGGAAATTTTTTAGGAATAAAACTAAATTGCTTTGTTATCATACCAACATAGTGTTAACTTTTGGCCAATCTGGACTTTATAGAAGCACTCAAAAAAAAACCCCCCCCCCCCCCCTTTTTTCAATGTATGTAATACAGTATTATGAATATTGAAAAATATGCATTGAGGTAAGTTGAAGGTGAAAATAGTTAGAGTGAAAACATGTAATAAATCAAATTGTTAAAGTAAAATCAGTATTATTGACCAAAAAATAATTTTTAAAAAAGATTTTAATTTCAAGTTGAAAATATATTTTCTAATTAAATGATTTACCAACCCAAATCAACAACAGTTTCAGAGTTAACAGGCTTTTCCTTTAGTCAGAGGTTGAATATACAAACATAATCCTTCCCATGAATGAAGAAGGGAAATCAATGAATTTTCATGCTGCTTTGTAAACCTAGAACAGATGTAGAGACCAGAATGAGAGTTTTATGTAATAATTAATTCTTCACAAATACATTTATCTTATTTATTTATTTATTTAGGCATTTTTATATAGCGCTTACCATAAAGCTCTAAGCGCTTTACAATTATTAAAAACATGTAAACTAAGTAAAATAAAAATGAGACACTAGGATAGTAACTGCTACTATACTATAGAAACAATGAAAATGGCTATAAAACGAGGACACTTTGACACGTTTTGGCCTATACTTCAGGATCATCCCAAAACAGAAAATGAGGCAGGGCAAGGAGGGTGCATCACAGGTCATAGGCGGACCTAAACAGATGAGTTTTAAGGAACTTTTTGAAAATGGACGAGGTTTCACAATGAAGGATATGGAAGGGGAGCTGGTTCCGGAACGTGGGCCCATGGAAGTAGAAGGAGCGTTCACCGATGGTCTTAGTTTCGGTTCTTGGGATTGAGAGGGTTCTACTGTCAATGGAAGAACGAAGTTGTCTTGTGGGGATGTAAGGAAGCAACAGTTCAGAGAGATAGACAGGAAAGTGAGGGTCAGTGAACGAGTTGAAGCAAAGATTGTATCTATAATACTAAAGACTATAATCAGTGGCATTCTCAAATAAACTTTACGATATAAATTAATATCTAATTGTAAAGAATGAATTTATAAATTTTATGAAGTAAATTTTCTTTCTCTCTTGTTCTTTGCAAAATTATATTTTAATACAATATAATACAATTTTTTTGGTTAAATAATTAGGACATATCATTATGACAAGGGTATAATAATAATTCAATTTACCAATTATTCTTTAATGGGAAGAACAGATTACTTAATGAATTCTTAGCTTTTTTATACTTGTACATTGTACGTGTACTATAACTATAATAATATAATACTAGATAGAGCCCGCCAAACATTGGCGGCGTGAACTTCCCACCTAGTAAAGTTACTTGACAAAACATGAACTCAAGTTATGCACATTTAAGAATCCCAATATTTGCTACACCCCTTCCCCCATGATACGTCACTGCACACTTTTTATTTCACGCCCATGAACTATATTAATATTTTCATGTCTAAACCACTTTTAAACCGAATATTTTTTAAACAATGCTTAAATTGAGACGATTTCATTTCTGAAAAGAAAATATTACACACCAAACGCAATTGCGTTATTAAAAATAGATATATATCATTTTAGCATAGTTATCGGGAATTATATTTTGCGCGCTAGTGAACTCATTATTTAACCACACTCTTGCGTATCTATATATATTTTGTGTGGTGTTTGAACCGTGTTGGTGTTTGACCTTTGCTGGCGAATTATATTATATACATATATAGTTTAAGTTTACTTAGCCTATGACTATGATAATAATAATAGCCTATGCTGATGCTTAGGAAACAGAAAAACAAGGTATGTGGACCAATGTGGAAGCTTGAAATAGAAAGACTGGACAATAAAAGAAGAACATAATCCTGTCTTTCTATTTCAATCTGTCACAATCCTTGTACTGGGCCTATTTAAAAGGCTAGACTAAGAGTACTAAGACTAAGACAGTTGATGAGTGATGAGCACAAAGACAAAGTCAAAGCCCTCAAACTCATTGTATCTGTAGGCCTGTATCTATCTATATCTAGTGATAGTGTGGTTCTCGTTTTGTTCTGCGTTTTTTAAATAAAATAAGTTAATAAATAATATCAAATATAATATTACATTTCAAAGTCACGGTCGGACTCGGCTCGGGATGCTACTTAAAGAATAAAGTAGGCCTACTGAACTTTCAGCCAACTTTCGGCTTACGCTATCCGCTGTTGTCTACTAAACTCAAAATCAATAAATAAAATTGTATAAAATCTTAGTCTTAATAATTACCACTCTGCAGATTGCTTATTCGAAAATAAATATAATAATTCATCAGTTAAAAAATATTTTGACTTGATCGAGTTCACACAAAACTGTATTTACGATACATGTACACAAATATATGGTTAACTTATTTACCGAGTTATGAAACAAACAGAAATGAATATGAATATACGATTTAGTGGTAACACTAAAACTAAAAGTAACATTCAAACTATTTTTAAAATAAAATGACTAGGCCTATACATGTTTTATAGTAAATTCTTTGTATCTTAAATTAGTTGAATAATGCTAAAAATGTAGATGTTCGCTTTCAAAGGTAAAAACGATCGGGATGATAACCCTCCCGCATAAGATATATAATATGCCTAATATATTGGCTAATTTCCTAACCTATTTTTTTTTTTTTTTTTTTTATGGTTTTATGTATTTATATATTTAT